TTGGTTCATGAGGAGCGACTTCCGTGGACTACGTATGCCTCAAGGTACTTGGAGAGCGGTCTCGCCAGGGATCTGTGGAAGGCTGTGCGGGGATCCTTTATGAAGTTATTGCCAGAAACCACCCTTGATGCGCTGTGTTGCGGTGTGCGATTGGATGGCGGTTGGCAACATCTCAAGTCTCTCCCGTTTCCGCGAAGGTTGAGAAAGAGACTGTTGGATTCGAAGCAGTGGATCATCTATTTGTCGGTCCATCGTGATGAAGTATTGCCCAGACCTGAGCTGTACCAGGAGGACGCAGTAGTGCTTACTGTTCATCCGGATCTACTTCCTCAAGCCTACGAAGCGCTACTATGGGGGGCGGCTACGGGCAGGATTGCGGCTATTGTTGGTTCCACTCCTGGGAGCTCCATTATGAAGGATTCTCAGATGGTTAGACTGTCTCGGGCGTTCGTCCTTTACGTGATTGGGAGACTGGCGAGACCTACAAGAAGAGTTGGGTTTTGTTGGACTACTCCAAGGGAGGGACGAGGTGAAGCCTTAGACAAGGTCATGACAGACTTCAGAGGAGCAACCTCTATGGATGAGATGGAGGTCGTCAAGGTCTCCGGAATTGAAGGAAGGAAAAGGGCGATGTCGGTTGTGACCAACTACAACGGTGAGAACTTGAATCCCCAGTGCTTCTTCGAGGAGGGGAGCAACGATGGTGATCCGTGGAAATGGACAAGCGCATGGAAAAGAAGTCTGATCAGGGCGATTGATGGTGAGGACTTCAAGAGCTCCGAGAAGCGCGAACATGGGTCACTGAAGGCGATGTCCCCTGAAGAGTGGAAGGACCACGTGAAGGCTGGTCATTATCCGTCAAGGAGGGACTGTTTGCAGTGCGTTACCCACGGAGCTACTGGGCATCGACATGCGCGAGTGGAACATCCTTCTTTATTTTGCCTAAATGTGGATGTGACGGGACCGTTCAGGACTACAGGGGAAGATCCAGCAGCCAGAGGTGATCGGACAAAGGCGGCGCGGATGAAGTACCTGCTGGTGGCAAAGTTCACACTTCCAAAGTCCTATGTGACGGGTGAGTTTGAGCCTACAGGGAATGATCCTCCGGGTGACGAAGAAGTCGGATACAAAGACTTATTTGTTGAGGAGGAAAAGGGCGAGGCCATGAAGGTGAATCCTTGTGGAGAACCTGAGCGGGATCTACTATTTGATGATGAGGAGAAGGATGCACCAGATGAAGAGCACGTTGATCCAGAAGATGGGCGCGACGATGGAAGGGGTGTGGGCCATATTCCGATCGATGTGGAACCTCCTCAGTCTACCTATTTGTTGTTCGCAGAGCCGATGCTGAATGACAAGGGAACTACGATTGCGTCAGCCATACAATCTGTGGTGCTATATCTACAAAGCCTGAACATCCCGGTGCTGAGGTTTCATTCAGACAGAGCGGCTCAGCTGATGACGAGATCCTTGACGCA